AATTGAAATAATTAGTGTTGAATTATCAACAGTGGGACTTACTGGCTTCTTGAGGAAAAACAGAGACAGCGCTCCAACAAGAGGCATATCACCCAGCAGTGGCTCCATCACCACTCTCAACACACCGTGGATCTATGGAAACACATAAGGAGCATATTAGTGCACACAGAGGGAGCTAAGGGGAACTCATGCCCTTCTGGCCTGTGACATTCCTCAGAGGTGGAATGTCACACACATGGCAGGTTAGAAAGCTGAGCAGAGTACGACTTCACACCTTCCCAGTGTCATCCTCCATCTTTTCCATAGCATGTTATGATGATTACAAGGATTATACTATTGGACATGCTTTCAATGTGTCACGTGGACACCATAGAGCTGCCCTAATCCACAGTGGGGAATGAAGGATGTTTACATTCTAGCACCATATATTTCTTGTGAAGCTATATTTGTATTCTCAGAATGGATAGTAATAAAATATTGTATCTGAGTAGAACTGCGATTGATCCTAATACTAATAAAACAACCTGTACCAATAATGCTCCAGAAACCAACAGTCATAACTTTTACTGTTTGCAGCCATTCAGAGCAAATCACAGAGCCACCGCATTAATTCTGAGCCTTCACGTTACAGTGAAAGATACAGTATCTTATTTCCAACATCAAAGATTTTAGTTGCCTCTTCATGAAGAAATGTCACCTTTTACATACATTCTTAAACACCAGCGACTGACTAGTATGGAAGTACCATAACTGATTGATATTAAATAATGCATTCATTTATAAAAGCAAAATGACTGCAACCTAAAACCAATCAAAAAAATGTATTTGACAGCAGGTTTCACAGGTTGTTTTATGTGCTGTAGCCCTGTCAAGGAGTGAACCTCCGTCAAACCAGTATTATCACGGACTCAAATGCACCTGCTCTGTGTAATGAAACCAGCTCAAGGAGTGATGTAATGTAATAGTGGTTGATAATGAGCTGGAGAGATAAGTAGGTCTGCCTGAGATACAGAATAGGGGGGAGTGAGCAACAAATGTCTCCCAGGGACAGATCTAACAGCACTTGCTCTCCAAGGAGGCACAGTGATTGTTTTTTCTGCCTGCCAACTTCCATAGCATACACACAACACACACATCTGTATTCAGACACAACAGAAAGAAAGAGGATTTCCTCAAGCAGCATGATATGGAATATGTTTGTTATGTAAATGTTTTTTTAACATTTTATTTTGTATGGAAGAGGCTTAGGGCCGCTGTACAAAATGGATTTGATGCGCGTATCTGATAATGGAACATGATTCAAGGCATTCTTGAAGATTATGACTTTAAACTCAGAATTGATCCTGTTCGGTAATTTGAAATGTCTCTCCTTTTGCGTAATAATTCTATTTTTTTTATCTTTATCTTCTCTGTATTCATGTATTGTATGTCTTTATAGTTTTTTACAGTGTTGTACAGTTTCCACTACACAACACTATGTATATTTTTTTCTTTGAAAACACCAAGTCATTTACCCACTCAAATGCCTATTAATATGTTTCATTATAGCCAATATGAAAAGAGAAATTTGCCCTGTTGTTGACACCAATCAGACACTGCAATGTCATTAGTGACTGGTTGACAGTGGTTTCAAATGTTACAAAGGGGCCTTGCTTCATTGTGTGTAGCACATTTCATGATGCCTGTTCATTAATGCACTACTTGATCATTTCTATGCTTGGTTATTAACTCTGACTGATCACAGCACATTCCTCCACCACTGAGGACCAGAGGTTTGTTTGTGCTGGTAAAAAAAAACTACACACTCGCATCCCAAAAAGCTTTAGGCACTGAATAACAAACATCGCATAGACAGAAATTTCAACGTCCCGCCCATACACATTCAGCATCTTGTTATTATCTGTTATACAAAATGTCCATACGGTATCAGAAAAGACTCAACTTGGAACTAGACCTTTACCTAAAGTTAGTGGCACTTTACTGTATACCAAGTGCTACATTTTCCTTTCCTGACAGCCACTACAGTGACCAAAACTCATGCCAAGGGACAATACTTCTGTGAGGATGTGAAACAAATCAGAGAAAAAGGAATTTCCTTACCTGGATGCTCTTAATGCCAGCTTTGCAGTAGTACCGTTTGATATCCACATCAATCTCTGTGTTCCCGACAAAGCTGAGTAACAAAAACAAAAAGTCTCTCAGATAATTATTTCTTTTAAATCAACAATCCTCAGGGTCTCTTGAACTAGTTTAAACCAGTACCACAAGTAAGCTACAGAGGTAAAACAGTAATGATTTCAGGAGGCATATTCTTGGCTCACCTGATGTGTAGGTCCATGATGATCTGTCTTTTGTCCACATTTTCAGAGTAAACCTTTACCCCATTGATCCTTAAGGGCTACACCGCAACACAGAGAGCCATTATTGTCAGTGGATCTCTCCAGGCCATCAACAACACACCAAGACCTCCACCACTCCAAAACCCCTGCATGGTTTGCAAAAAGGTTGACCCCTCTCCTGACCCGAAATGAAAACTATTTATAAAACCAGCACACTAGTCAGAGGCAAACCTGCATGTTCATGTTCGAGGTCCCACACACTCTAACCAACTGTCCCAGTGGCGCCTAATAAGAGAATAAGAGATGCTCACTTTGTCTCCTATGTCGATTTTGCTAAAGCAGAAGGTGCTGAGGTGGGAGCTGGACTCCTTCACCACCGGCTCGATCGTCTCGTGCAACACTTTCTCCACAAACTGGCAAATGTATGGCCACATCTGTTTCACCGCCTGAGGGGAAGAGACTTGAAATTCAAAGAGTAATCGTAGTAGAGTTTTGCTGGGACAAACTAAAAATCGGTGCCTTTTTTGGTATATACTTAGGGCATGTACATGTAGCGCTGTAAGACTGTATGAGATATTACTGTCACTAAATCAGCTTTACTCTTTGTAGACTAATGTTGCTGCTTCATACAAGTACTTCTCTCATGCTGTTAATTATATAGCTTTTATAAAATATCCAAAACATAGTTCCATTTAAGTAGAATCCTGTCTCATTCATACATATCAAATTTTGATTTCATCATCTAGAACAATGAATATGTATATACTATATGCTTTAGAAATTACAACCAGGTTGATGCCATGTTAAATCACGAGGGGTAATGCACTTCACAGTACTGCAGAAAGAAGGCTGCATGTTAAGTCAAATGCACTGCAGCATATGGTGGGTGCAACATTAACAGGCCCAGTGGAGCGAGAGCGAGGGTGACAGACATCCCAGTTTTCACAAAGCAAAATGGATGACTTCCTCCAAGCAAATAAATTCAAGAGACAGCTGCTCAATTTCTTACCTTGTTCAGCCACTCCACTCGCTCAACATCTGGGAAGTGCACCTAAAGTGAAGCAAACAGAGCAGATTGTCTCCATGTTAGTTCCAAACAGTGGCTAATAATGCAACAGTTGTTTCCCTGGAAGGCCAAGTTTAAATTACATGCTCAAAAACTGCATGATCAGTAAAATTGAAAGCTTGAATTTAAATGCTAATGTTTATAAACTGTACTTGCAATAATTATTACATGTGTGATTTTTTCCCATTTTTAGTTTAAAAGAGTTAACGCGTGTTAAGGTGCAGGTTAAGCCCGATAAAGACCAAAAGCTTAGTTATATAATTAAATGTCTACAGTGGACCAGTGTTCAAAATCTTCTTCTCTTTCATTTTAAATGTTTCAAATTACTCTCGAATTAAGTGCAAATATCAAGTGCGGAGCAAATCCTTTCCTAAATTAATTTTAAATTTCAAAGTGTTTATTCCCTGATCTCAACAACAAGATGAAGCAAGACAGCAGGCTGGCGTGCTGGGCAGATCTGACAGCTACAAGGGACAGCACTCGGATTCATAGAGAAAACAAACATGCTTACACAGCATGCGTGTCAAATTGTGGCTGAGGCAGTGACAAGAGCAGGAAGATGCCTGTGGAAGAGAAAGTTATATCTAATATGAGATTTAGACCCAGAGTGTCAGTATGAGTTGAGATTAATATAATGACCTGAAAAAGACACTGACAAGGTGTCATTATTACATCTGACAAAGTTAGAGTGACCTTATTCAAAACATGTAGATGGAGTATCAGATGATTCACTCGATAGGACAGATGTTTGAAAGTACTTGCTAAGAGAAGTGACTTGTGCATCTGAAAGCTCAAGCAAAGCAGCTTAATAATTTAGATACTGCTACTGCTTGCTGTGTTGGTGTAGGACTGTCTTTAAAGTGTACGTACTGTAGTAGCCTGCCTGGGTTTTGAATCAAAGAGGCTTTCCACACTGAGCTCATAATACCTATAACCAGCACGCAAGTCTAGAAAGTAATCAAGACCTGGAAACACGCTAAATGTATGTCCTGAAAAAGTCACAACACAAAACACAAACAGTATCTGATGCGGACGTATAGTATCTCATTTTCAGACACACAATGCTGACCTCTCAAACTTGCTTACATCTCGTGAGTCACACAGACAGCAGCGCACCAAAAGGTCTGCTATAATGCAGACAATTTGACTCCTGTAAACAGCAGACCTACTGAAAACCTGAAACCACGCAAAGTTTGTGAAGCAGTTTATTGGTCTCATGCTTTGCTACTGGCTGTGTCCTTGTGCCAGTTTATTAGATGTTAATGTAATCCAGTACAACATCTCAGCCCTACATTCAGCCGTTGCAAAGATGTGTTCAGCTTTGATTGACACTGTCAGAGACATTCGAAATTAACAAAAACAAGGAAAAAAATCAGCTCTGCACTGTCCATAAGTGTGAGATGGCAGAAAAGAATCCAATTTAGGCACTCAAGTGGAGGGTTGATAATAAAATACCTTTAAGGGATATGGGCTAGAACATTTAAAAAAACACCACTGCGTCTCTGCACACTTGGTTAGTTGGTTTCAGTATTAACTCTGGGTTTCGTACTGAGATTGTAGTTTGCAGTGGCGTTAAACTAGACTGTCCATTCTAATACACAATTAAATGTTCCAAAGAATGGGTGAACATTCTGATGAAAGCTCAGTACTCAGCCAAATGTGATTTGCTACTTTTTGTAATCAACCAGCAACCACCATGTCTTCATAATCACTCAAACAACCCAGTCAAATCTCTTCTGTGTATTTAGATTAAGCGGTGTTCCTATTGTTTTCAAACAGGAGTGGGACCAGTAGAAGTTTTAAAACAGAGGCACACCACTAAAAGCTGCAATGACAAAGCAATCTTACTACTGTTAAGACTTAGTTTTGTTCAGTGGAACGAACCTGGCACTAGCCAAGATTTAGGAGCTATAACTGGAGAAAATCCCCACCCCTGAGGACAGCACAGTAGCTCATCAATGAGAAATCTGCCACTCGATCTAATTCGAAAAGTGTACTGTGATGGTCGTGCACATCGCCTCAAAGTCTGTTAATTTTTATAATCGACAGGGGATTTGGAGGTTACTCAATCAAGCCTTTTTCCTTTAAGTGTGATGCTCTTACTCTTCACCGTGTAGCTTTTCCAGCCCTATTTAATAGCCTGAATGCATCCTCAGCCGTGTGTCAGCAGAACGAGCTTTTAACTGTTCTCATAACATAGGCTGGGCTGAGCATCACAAACTAGTTGAACTGTCCTTCTGTGATGAATATTATAGGGTAAATGTTGGATTTATAAGTTGAGCATCTGAGATTTGAGGCCTTCTTAGTTCAGTTGTATTTTGCGCTTAGATAGCACGTGATTAAATGCAGTCTGTTTACTTAGTGATTTCCAAACTGGATCTAGAACACAGCAGACACATTGTCTACTGGAGTTGAAATTGTCCAGGAGAGTTAACTTGTGCAGGTAGTTAGAGGATGGATCAATTAATGCATTAATTTATAATCCAGTCCCTTTGCTTTTAAATATTCCCCTCTCATGTATTTCAAACCTCCTTCAATATCACCACAGTATATCTGAGATAAGTCATATGACATTTGGCTATGTGACAAAAAAATGCTCCAAATATGTCACTGCCAGCAGCTAATCTACAACATAATCTGTTACGTGCAATGTTATATCATTCATTTACATACTGGGTGTGCTGAGGGTCCACATGGGGTAATATTACCTGCCACTAAACTGTTAACCCTGACAAGGACAACCCCAGTGTTACCCAGTGTTTGCCAAGCTACAGTGCTGCAGTACTACAGTGAGTTACTGCAAGTGCCATAGTTGTCAGGATCCCAAAATAACGGAGCCTGTGGGCATGTTCCTTTTCCACCATGGTGTCTGGTTTACCATTGTGTCCTGCTGTATTTAGACTGGGGCTCAGCCTAATGTCACTGCTGGGGGCACAGCTGCTCCATCAAAGCCTTGGGGCTCAAATCTGACTGTTGACAGTTTTTTGATGGAAGAATATTGTTCAGAAAAATACCTCTTCGGAGAAACTGTTCAGCCAGAATAAACGACTGTGGACATTGTTTAATCTGTTGTATTTCAGACTTACCCACGGTGGTAGGTCTGAAGTGGTAAGGCTCTGCTTGACACTTCTCTCCTCTTGCTCAAAGAAAGACAGAGCTCGGCTCAGCCGGCTGTGCTTCCCTCCTGTGTTTCTCCTCCACCAGAAAAAAAAAATAAGTCCAATTAACAACCAGCTGAAGCTGAACTCAAAATATCCCAGTGCATAAATGGGAAAAATAAGAACAAAGGTTTTAGCAAAGTGAACCCAAGTCTGGGTCAGCTCGCTGGTCGAGGACACCGGGGCATCACTGGGTATGGCCCCCGCAGAGGGATGGGTAAAGTTGGCGCTGGACTGAGCGGGGCTCGGCGCGGTGTGTCCATTCTCCTTAGCTGAAGCGGGGCTCGCATTGTGTGGGTGGGCTCCTCGTACAGCTGTCATGCTATCTCTGGACACGTCTCTCTGTCCCGGAGTCCGTCTTCAAACTGCTAAAATGCGGATGAGGTCGGGTGTCTTGGTTCCCATGTGCGAACGGACCAAAGCAGCTGTTGTGGAGCCTGCTCTCACGTTGGCTCACCTGTACACCAGCCCATCGCCTTCGGGGGAATCGTTGGCATTGAACGCTTTAGTTTACGCTACGACTAAAAGATAAGGAGTGCATTTCTTTGATTAAATCGAGCTGCTGAATCTGTCCACTCCACAGTCATTCTACCTCCACAGTTCACATATAGGATGGGAATGATTATCAGCAAAACCACACATGGATGTGCGTTCCCACTGGTGACCGCTGCACGGCTGAATGTAAGATAACGCCATCTGGTGCTCACCAGCGACAAACTGAGCGTATCAATCATAGACATATGGTAGCAATTGTAGAAACACAAAGAAATAGGAATCGCATTTATATTCAAAATATATAAAATAACTAACATATGGATATTTTACTGCTTAACTTGCTATCAAAAGCAGAAGTTAAGCTAGAAATGGCGAGCACAGATAAATCGCTCAACAGACGAGCTTTATGTCAGCTTAGATCCCAGCTGTCGGGAGCTTATTCCACTGGATGTGGTCTGTTTCCCCGTAGATATGTCTCCTCTTATATTAATCTGAATCTATCCTACACCTAACCCCAACCAATCGTGTAAGGATTAAGCCACTCTCGAATAGGACAGTTACTGCTGCTAGCGTAGAGCAAAATTCAGAATGAATCAAAGAACAACTAGCATTATCAGGGGTGTTAGTTTTGTTATAATTGATTAAGCTACAACATTTTTAAGGCGGTCTGTCAAAAATTCTCATTTATACAAAAGGTCTCAGACAGTTACCTTGACAACCAGGTGTTGATTCCAGCGATTGCTCTACTGTCGATTAGTAGGTCTGTTGTCAAGCCGAAGTGACGCGCTCTCCTTGGTTTCGACAAACTGCGCTTGCGCAAAAGTGATACCAAGATGGCGACGTCATTGCAAACATATGAGTTAATTTTCGGCTATTGAAAAACTGAAAATATATACACAGATGAGAACATGCATAGTGACAAGGTAATAGTTTTATCTTTGTTCTTACCGTATGCAAGCCGAACCTGGGAAATGTTTTTAGAAAATCTCGGCTGTGGTACTTGCCGAACAAATACAAAATAACGGTGCTTATGTTATTAGTTAGCGTGGATATAAATGAACGCTGATATGTTCATCCTGTAAGCATAAAACATCTGTTTGTTTAGAAAATAACAAAGGAAGATACATGGAGACCTGCTGACCTGAAAAGACACATCAGGGTGAGTTTATAAGAGTTTAGAGAAGCAATGCAGAAGATGGCGAGTCAAGCTGGATTTCTAAATAATATATAATAATTCCCTTTTTTAGGGAGAAGGACACAGGGATGACTCTGTCAGGAGGCAAGATGTCAATGAAAGAAAGCACAGTGGTGGAGAATCCAAAGAAAGACACCACAGGGACCCAGGGAAGGAGTCTAGACAAGAGGGACACAAGCAGAGGGAAGTGGAGAGTGCTACAGATACACGAGAAGATGAAAACGGCAGATATGTACACCAGAGGAAGGAGGGCTCACGGGACAGGAGAGGTGACAAGGAAAGGGATAGAAG